AGAAAAATACCCAATAATCCCTGGAAGGAATGTTAAGGTCAGACACCAGGCAGTGAGAGAGTGAGCCAAATTTGATTTTACTTTACATCAAAAATAAGTACAAAGTCAGTGACTCAGAGCTGACTATACACCGTGACTAATCTTAGACCACTATAAATTAGAACTTTGCAACAGCTATAAAACTGTTTCCATTCTGAACAATGAATCTCCAGTTCTTACTAATGTCTAATCAACAAACAATTCATGTGAACCCAGATAAAAGCATTTACCTAACAAATATTGTAATCAGAAATATAATTACATGCTAGACCTGAAATTTAATTTTAAAGATGAAAAATATATTTAATTATCTTTGTAGTACTAATTAATACTTATGTTTCATATGAATGACTCTCCTTAATTAAAATACTTCTACATTTGCATGGGAAAAAATATCTATAATTTTGCCTGGTGGAAATGTGGAAATAATATTTTGCAATAGAATAAATCCCTTATGGAAAATTATAGATTTCATAAGAAAACAATTCATTTCTTTCTTCTACAAACATATGAGTGTCTGTAATTCCCAGGGTATCTGCTAGGAACTGTGAGTAAAAAAAAGACAAACTGGACATATACCCTGTGAGCAGAAAGTTTAAAATGGAATAGAGTACATCTCTAATTTCAGCACCGTCCTACCCATGTATGTTGTTTAAATGTAGATTTTTTTGTGAGTCTTACTTTCCAAATTCTGATTCCATAGGTCTGGAGTAGGGCCTGAGGGAAATACATTCTGATACAGGGAGTTAAAAGTCTAAACTTTGAGAAACATTTGTCTTCAGTGTGAGTACATAGCACACACAATCATGTATCTAATACCTGCCTAATTCATTGATGTAGATTCCCTTCGGTTTTCACTCAAGTAGTCTTTAAACTCTGAGTTAAGATCCAATTCAAATACTTGTTATTTTTATTTTTTTTACAAATACATTACCTGACATTCATGTGTCTCTATATCAAATGCACATTACTATTTTAATTATGTGTTCTAAGACCGTGTTCTAGTAGATCTGTCTATCAGATTATGTGTTCTAGTAGATCCGTTCTACTAATGGAACTTGTGCTGTTCCTGTGATGAAGCAGTCATCTTGAATACCCATGGACTCTCTAACGAGTCTTCTGCCTTGTTTTCGGTCTTGAACCTCTCATTTATCTCAGAATTGTTGGCCTGTCCTTTTTGTCCAGTTCTCTGAGACTAAACTTCTGTCCAATGATCAAGGCCATTTTACCTCATCCTAGACCACCTGATGCAGACCATCTGCCTGGATTTGACCATATTTCCTTCTGCCAGGGAGCAATGGTCTGCTCCCTACCTACTAGGGAAATGCCTATCACTCCTTTCTAGAGATTTCTGATACTGCTTATTCTCACTGCTATCACCATCAAAGCTCAAGGGTAATCTACTCCAGTACTTCCCAAAATTTACAGAGAATCAGATCACCTAGAGAGATGCTTAAAAGTACAGACCTGGGCATCACCTCTTGAGGCTATGATTCAGCAAATCTGGAGTGAAGTCCAGGAATCTGTGGCTTTAAAGCTTAGCATGCCATTGGAGAATTTAAAACACACACACACATACACACACACACTTAAATTGGGCTTTTAAGAATGAATACAATTTTGTGTGACATAGAAAAGGAAAAGGACAATATAGCTTCAGGGAGCAAAGCAATTTGAGCATGAGAAAGTGTTAAGTAGGTTTAAAAACAAAGAATCTAATCAATTATTACCCATAGCAAGTAGCAACAGCTTAATAAATGTTCTTTGAATTGAACACATGAAATCTAATGTACTGAAAAAATGACGTTTGGCTAGAGGCATCAGCTAAATGAGGAAATGTAGTGGAGAAATATAAGAATGAAAAGCTAAATAGAAGCCAGATTTTCATTGGTGATCAATTCTGGGGTGCATTTTCTAGACAAGAAAAAGTAAAACATTTGGAGTATCCTGGGCCATCTCCTTCACTTTGTGCCTTTCATTCTTATCTCTATGCTTCAAGGACCCAAATCTGCATGTTAGGATTGATACACCAACTAGTTCTTCAGCTGAAATTTTCTAACAATTTACCTATGTGCATTTGTGTGTGTGTGTGTTTGTGAGAGACAGAGAGAGAGAGAGAGAGAGAGAGAGAGAGAAAGAGAGAATGCAGGAGAAAGTAGAATGAACTGATGGAGTAATGTTCTAGAAAACATATGATATTGAAACAAACATAAGAAGCTAGATTCCTGAAAAGAGGAAGGTAATGATGTCCCAAGCTATCTTGAGAGCATAAATAAAGATTTAAAATCTTTAAATTTTGAAGGAGGTCAGTCAAGTCAGGATCACTGATTTTAATAAAATGAATAGTCACATCATTTACAGATGATACTGTTCAAAATGAAAGCAGGATTCTCCTATGGAAAATTGACAAAGTATAAACAAAGGATATATAGAAGATTATGGAGCAGCTAGGAGAGTTAGAAAAGGCAAATTTATAGTTAATATAGGTAAACCATTTCTGTTTTTTTTTTTTAATACCACTGTTCATCAGCCAGTCTCTGATGAAAACAGGGAAATCCTCTCAGAGTTGGGAAGCCGCTGGAAGATGAGTCACAATGGCATGGTTTGAGATAGAAGGAGCAAGAGATAGGTGTTGCTGTAAAGCATTCATTCCAGCTGAACATGGAGACCACTGGAGTCTAAAGAAGTGTTGCATCAGAAGCATAAGAAGAAAAGGGTGCTGATTAGGATGCGGAAACCAGGGAGAAGGTACACCATGTCTCAAAGCTCTGTGGTTTACTACCTCAAGGACAAAGAAGTAGAGTAAAATTGGGTGATGCTGATTTCAAAAGGAGGAAGGAATTAAAAGATGCTTCCAAGGTAACAGATCTGGATGTGCCAGAAGTAAACAATTATGCTATTACCCACAGCCCCTCTTATAGAGGACTTCCGGGGAAGTGGCATCATCAGGAAGGAATCAGACTTATGTTTATAAGCAGGTACAATACTGGAGAAGGTAGAAGGATGAAGGAGATTATGATGTAGGTCAGACCAGTGTCAGAGAGGGCAAGAGGTTTCTTCTTTGTGGACTAGAGCTTAGTGAACTGGATGTTTTTGTTCAAATAGTATACAAGATAAGGGCTGATATATAGGAAAAGGAATAGATGAAAGAGTTTGGCAGCTATGGAATTCAGGAAAGCATCTAGAATTCTATAAAATCAATTAAGTAAAAAATGAGATACCACCTCACACCCATCAGAATGGCTAAAATTGACAAGTCAGAAAACAACAAATGTTGGTGAGGATGCAGAAAAAGGGGAACCCTCTTGCACTGCTGGTGGGAATACAAGCTGGTGCAGCCACTCTGGAAACAGTATGGAGGTTCCTCAAGAAGTTAAAAATAGAGCTACCCTACAACCCAGCAACTGTACCACTAGGTATTTATCCCAAAGATACAAATGTAGTGATCAAAACTGTATCCCAATGTTTACAGCAGCAATGTTCACAATAGCCAAACTGTGGGAAGAGCCAAGATGTACATATATATATATTACATCTTCTTTATCCATTCAGCTGTTGATGTATAATATGCATATAATATAATATATATGTAATATATATCCATGAATATATATATATGGAATATTACTCAGCCATCAGAAAGGATGAAATCTTACCATTTACATTGATGTGGATGGAACTGGAGGGTATTATGCTGAGGGAAATAAGTCAATCAGAGAAAGAATTATAATATGGTTTCATGCATATGTGGAATATAAAAAACAGTGCAGAGGATCATAGGGGAAAGGAGGGAAAATGGGAAGAAATCAGAGAGGGAGACAAACTGAGAGACTCTTAACTATAGGAAACAAACTAAGGGTTGCTGGAGGGGAGGTGGGTGGGGGATGGGGTAACTGGGTGATGGGCATTAAGGAGGGCACTTGATGTAATGAGCACTGGATATTCTATGCAACTGATGAACTACTGAACTCTACATCTGAAACTAATTATATACTATATGTTGGATAATTGAACTTAATTAAAAAAAGAAAAATCAAAAAATGGATAAATATCAAAATGCTTACATGTTTATTCCATATTTTAAATTATGATAAAGCATAATTTGATAAAATCAATTTGGATAATAAGAAATACATATTTGTGGAAACACAGTAGAGCAGATTTTCTCTTTTTTCCTCCTTTTAACCTCCTAATGTTGGGGAGAGGGGTCAATGTACTACATGGTTGGTACTCAGGTAACACATGTCATAAAAATGTGTGTGTTACATTTTTAAATATTTCTTCCATATCATTAGATAAATGTGCATAATGACAAATACCATATGAATTCACTCATATGTGAAATTTAAGAAACAAAACAGATGAACAGGGGCCCCTGGGTGGCTCAGTCGGTTAAGCAGCTGCCCTCAGCCTGCTTGAGTCATAGTCCAGGGGTCCTGGGATGGAGCCCCATGTCAGGGTCCCTGCTCATCAGGGAGCCTGCTTCTCCTTCTCCCTCTGCCCCTTTCCCAGCTCTCTCTCTCTCTCTCTCTCTCTCTAATAAATAAAATCCTAAAAAAAAAAAAAAAAAAAGCCTAGATTAACAGAGGAGAAAAAAAAGAAAAGAGAGAGAGAGAGAGGCAAACCAGAAAACAAACTCTTGATTATACAGACCAAACTGAGGGTTGCTGGGAGGGAGGCGGGCAGGGGTATAGATTAAATGGATGATGGGTTATTAAGGAGAGCACTTGTGATGAGCACCGCGTGTTGCATGTAAATGATGAATCACTGAATTCTACAACTAAAACTAATATTACATTGACTGTTAACTGGAATTTAAATAAAAATGTGAAAGAAAAAAGATTACGGATGGTATCGACAAATGTCTGACACAGGCCACAAACTATGACTTGTTTCAGGTTAGGTACCTCTTTCAGGTAAATTACCTTTTTCAGATTAATTATATGTTTCACAATAGTTACCTGCTTCAGGTAGTGTGCTGATGTTGCATGTTTTTTCATCACCTTCACCTGCTGAGGTTGAAGCTCTTATTTTAAAGACATATGAGGTATTGGCAAGAAGTTTCATGAAAGTATACATATGATTTTGGGGAGAGACTTTTGTAGAATTCCTTTCAACTGTTACCAGATAATGTGTAATTATTCCATTTGCCTTTTTTGGTGGATCCCACTTCACTAAAGCTGACCGCCAGCTAGTTGCCATACACTGTATGTTCTGTACAACATCTGGAACTTAAAAGACAAACAAATGCCCAAAGTTAAAATTTACATAGATCTAGTAAATGATTTCAATGTGTGATTGTTAGATAAAATCATGTTAAGGAGTTGAGACCAAATAAAAATTTAATATGACAGCCTTGCAATGTGTGCTCAATAAGTTGACATAAACTAAATCAAATGGCAGTTGGCTCATTTTCTAGGCTATTATGTTAATCCTCACAATACTGAGACAATCACTGAATATTTTCCTAGGGCCCAAGCACCTATCATCCTAAAATCCTGAAAAGTAGCTAACTGGACAGTCTCAAACTCAGGCAGTGGTTGTAGCCTACTCATTTTCTCTCTTAACCAGAAAGGAGCAGTCTTACCAATACTTTTTCTATGGAACCTTTTAATGCAAGACATAGATGTAGGTACCTCCATGATGTGGTACATCTGGGCCTAACTGTGTTTGGAGTTAGGTAGTCAGGGCCAGCTAAGATAAAACAGCACCAACATCCAGTTTTGCAGCTTGAATAGGAACACACTAACTTTCTGCTTTGCAGCCTTTGCAGAAATGGCTTCTGCAAAACATCCTAAAATAAGACAACCACAAAGCATTTGTCAATATTATGGGCAAGGGGCAGTTAAGACATAAGCCCCCAGATACCAGGCATAAAACACCATCAGCACATTGATATTAACCTAATAGGTAGACTGTGATCAAAGCCCTGGTTGGCACAACTAGGCACACCCTGGTTGCTTAAGATAGTTCTGCAAAAGAGCTCATAAAAAAACCCTAAACTTAGACCTCGAGGGCAATCCTCTTGGGTCCCCTCCCTCTCCTGGAGCTTTGTACTATTGCTCAATAAACTGCTTTACTGCCCACCACCCTTCATCTGATCCATCTCTTCATTCTTCAAAAGAGGCATGACCAAGAACCATGAGTGCTAAAGGTGGAGAATTCCCGCAACAACAGTACTAGGAAACTTGCAATCAATTTAGGGATCTTGTTTTTACAATTGGTAGGATTCTTTGGAAAAATTGTGAGGAATGGATCTCTCGGTGTCGTTTTAAAAATCATTGGAGGGAATATTTAAATCAGTCCCAGGTTCTAATTCAGTTCCAGTGTTTTTCCTAGAACTTCCATGAATTTACTTGGAAGTAACCCAATTTCTCAAAGGTCTACTATATCTGGTGTACCTGGCACCACACACAAAAGTGACTGCAGATTGGAGAGATTGGCTACTTCCCACGGAAATGTCCAGTTAGTTAACATCCCCTAATGTCAGCATCGCTTTTCCTAATTTAGTAAAAACAGGATGCTAGAAGGTAAATTTGCATATAGTCAATTTGTGGATGATAAACAAGTAGTGAAACAACTTGCTGTCATTATGCAAAACATAGTTATTTAAACAATACTCGAGTTAATCTTTGATTTGTCTAAAGTTCTCTCCTCTGACCCAAATTTATCTTTACAAATTCTTCCTCTGTAAAGTAAAGGCGTCAGAACTGAAGGAGACTGCTTAAGGAATCTGTGGCATTTAAAATTAAAGAAAAGACCATTTCTCAAATGCTCTAGGGTTCTGGCAATTAAATATTATTTGCTTCCTTATTTTCAAGAACATAATATTTTCATAAAATAATTTAAGAAGTTGATACTTTGCTTGAGTTTATAAAAAAAGATTTTTGTGACTATTTCACTGATTCTGTAAATTGAAAATCAACCAGCTGATATTTAACCTTTAAGTTGAAAAAAAACTATTTAAGCAATCAAGGCATAGAATTTTATGCAGTAATTTTATTTTATTGATAAAAATATTTATTGGATTACTGTCTACAAGATTAGCCTTGATTTTTACTAAACTGATACATGTGTAAATTGTTAAAATGCTTTTCTTCTTTATAGGTTTAGCATTTGTATATAAATTATCATTTAAAATACACCCATTTCCTATAGTCATGTCCACCCTTCACTAGAGGTCAGAAACTGAAGTGCTAGTTCAACTTCTTCACTGATTTTTTCAGACCTTTTAAATCTAAACTTCCTGAATCATGGTTTCTTTATCTGTAAAGGAGAATGGGGCAACAGTAATATTTTCTTTTTTGAGCACTAAATGTGCATCCAACATACTAATAGGAGCTTTATGTGGATGTTTTCAAATATTTTCCACAACAACCTTATTGGTGGCTACTGCTAATATGTGTTTCTTTTCAGTTAAGAACATAGAGGCTCAGAGGAGTCATGAGTCTTTGCAGTTATATAGCTACTAAGTCATGGAGCTTGGATTCAAACACAGACACTCTGACTTCAAAGCATGTACTTTTATCCACAATAAATACTGTTTTCTTAGCCTGTCTTACAGGAATGCTATGGAAAAAAAGTCTCAGATATTCACAAATGCATGCAAAAATGATTAATGTATCAATAAGTGCTCTCCAGTTTCAATTTAGAGATTCACTAAAGCAAGAGAAAATACATCTCAAGGTACAGAGAAAAGATAACTAGAGCAAGATCTTGTGCTCATTCAATAATCATTGATTAAAAAAAAGTGAGGAAGAGGTGTCTTTAAATGTATGGTCCAGTTGAGGGAAGGAAAGTGTATTTCTCAGCCATCTATTAAATAGATCATAAATGAAAACTATCCAGTACACAAACAAGGGGGAGCTATGGCACACAGGTGACATGTAGGTAAGCTGTTCAATTAGATCAGGAGTATTTCATAGTCTTCATAATCCCCTCCACATGTTACAAATGGCCTATAGGAAAGTGAAGCTTACATAATGACCAGTGGCCCTCATGTGTCACAATACATCTTCTTAAAAAAAAAATCAGTATCACTTCATGGAAATATAAAACAACTTGTTAAAAGTGACTACTGGCTTGTTTCTCCTCCTTCCCCCCAACCCTAGCTGTCTCAGTTGATACTGAGAATTTTAGAAACAAAACAAATAAGCAGAGGGAAATAAAAATGGGGAGAGAGGCAAAGCAAGAAACAGACTCTTACTTATAGAGAACTGAGGGTTAGCAGAGGGGAAGTGTGTGGGGGATGGGTTAAATAGGTGATAGGGATTAAGGAGGGCACTTGAGATGAGCACAAGGTGATGTACAGAAGTACTGAATCACCTTACTGTACACTTGAAACTAATATCACACTGTATGTTAACTAACTGGAATTTAAATAAAATTTTTTTATAAAAAAATTAGGTAATTTTCATAGATATCTAGAAAACTGCTCTGTTCCTAAACTATTCCCTTATTTCAATGTCCTTAGTTCAAAAGGAAAAACTTCATGCAAATATATATATATTTGTTTCCAGCCTACTGTTAAAGCACTGAAATTCAACTTCTCTTTAAAAGTGTTATTAAATAATAATCCTTTATCACATAAACCAAAAAGAAGGGGAAAGTGTTCAATACAAACTGAAACATTTTAGGATCAAAAACTTGTGTCTCACCTGATTCTTGAGTTGTGAATTTTACTACATTACTAAATTGATTGCCATTTCCGACTTTTGTAAAGGCAGATACGCTGATAGAATAAGTGCTGACTGGTTCCAGTCCAAAAAGTTGGGCTTCAGTTTGAACACCTGAAATATTCTGAAAAGCAGAAAAAAATTATTTGTCACGATGCATCACTAAAAATTTGTTAACTAGAAGAAATATTTTATTATATTGAAGTTATGCATTCTACGTTTAATAAGTGTATTTTCAGTTAAAACATACATTAAACATTTGTGTGTGTGTGTGTGCCACAGGGTGTTCTCAGATGATGATCTAGGATGAACCAGGCACTCTCTCAACCCTGAAGAATCTCATAATGACCATGTTTTTAATTTCTAACACTAGAGTATTTTGTTTTTATTTTGTCTCCCTAACACGTGCTTGGATTAATACGCTTATTACTTCCTTTAAATTTTCAAAAATTGGAGTGCCCAATTTAAATCAAACTTACGTGTAGTCAGCGATATTAGATTTTCCTTGAATTCATCTAGAGTCATTGTTTAATACTTGGTAACATTCTATATAAATTAATTTATTTGTCAGCTACTTCATGCCAGGCATTGGGAATATACAGTTAATAAAACAAAACCCCTACTCTCATGAAACTTAAATTACAAGTTTTCTCAGACCACTCCTAAATTTCTAATTTTACCCAATCTCTTAGGAAAATGAAAAAAATGAATAGCTACAGCTGCTCAAGGAAAGATATGCTTTCTCATAGAAAAACTTACCATTAAGTATAAAGTCTTCATTTAAAGACAGTTGTCAAAACTGAGACATTAGTTAAAGCTAATCTGTTATCCTTATGGAAAGAGAAGACAACCTCCTATGATGGTATAATTTTTAAAATACCTCATATTATCCGATCCAAAATACAAACCACTTTGATTTCTTTATTAAACATCTCAGTAATAGAAATTTATCAAGAATACTCACGGGCCACTTACGGTTTAATCACATTTTAAATTAAATCCTATTTCAAATTAATATTCCAAGTCATTCGTATACTGTAGGGACTCACCGTATTACAGTATTTCCTGTCATTCTTTCATGCTTATTATTTATAAAGCATGGTGTTAGATAATCAGGAGATTTTAAAGATACATATATAAGAGGTATATGGTTCCTGTCATCAAGGAATTTTTATATGAATCAAAGAAATCTCTACACAGTGACACCTGGCTGTCTCAGTGGTTGAGCATCTGCTGTCAACTATTGGGAAAAACTGACATAGATTTGTAAAGAGTGCCATAGCTAATAAATCTTTTTCCCCCTTTTGAAATTATCTTTATTTCTTCCCTGTTCACAAAAGTAACCATGAATCACTACTAAGTGTCACAAAGAAAGAACTTAAAGGAAATATTTGCCCATGATGCCAATATTTAGAGATACTACTATTGGTATTTTGAAGACATTCTTTCAGATTTTTGATCCTGGAGTCCCGAGATTGAGTTCAGCATCAGGTTCCCTACAGGGAGCCTGCATCTCCCTCTGCGTCTCTTACGAGTAAGTAAATAAAATCTTTTTTTTTTTTTTAAAGAAATCTCTAAACAAAAGTTTACCGAGAAGAAATTAAACACAACTCAGGTAAATTTTAATTTGGATTAGGAAGGGCTCATACCCAGAGAAATGACTGAGATTATGATAAAAAAGTGAGCAGTTTACTGGATAGTGACTTACATGAGTAAATTGTAAGAGGGAGACATGAGTGAGGAATATTTCTAAACATTTAAACAGAACTTTTTACTGAATAAACAGTTTCTCTCCATATATGTGAATGACCCAAGTTATGAGCAGACTTGGATTTCACTGATCTCGATCACATTGAATCGACTGTGACGATGGGAACATTGAGGTGGTTTTGGAAATATTCTGCTTCCATAAACCCACATATAATTTTAAAAAGATAAAAAGGTAAAAAGAAAAAGAAGTAGAAAGAGGTAGAGGAAGACATAGAAAGGAAAGTAGGAAAATCAACTCAGACAGGAAAAAAAAGGAGGCATGAAGTAGGGGTAAAGAAACTTAAAAATGAGACTCTGAAAGAGTGCCTAGGAGGCTCAGTCAGTTAAGCGCTGATTTTTGGTTTTTGCTTAGGTCATGATCTCAGGGTCCTGAAATTGAGCCCCGGGCTCCCCCTCAGCAGGGGGTCTGTTTCTTCCCCTCTCCTCATGCTCAGGCACATGTACTCTCTCTCAAAAACAAATACTAAAAAAAGAAAAGAAGACTATGAAAATCGACAGAAGAGAAAACGAATGTAAAAAGGAGTAACTATATGTAGTAAATTTTAGAGAAAAACTATACCTTACAAGTTGTAAATTTAATACTTTATGGTATTAAGATTATATGTTTACTACAAGCACAATTTTAATTATAGCATTTCTACTGAAAAATCAAGATATCTAAAAAATCTTAGAATAAAACTTATTCTCATATTCAAGTAAAGGTATACCATCCTTTCATACTTAGTGCCAAGACAATGCTGAATGGATTTTTTTTAAATCTTTTAAACTGAGTTCAATGACAACCAAGCTAACACATTTATCATGTGCTAAAGATTATTCTAAATGCTGGATACAGATTTTCCCCTAATATTCCTCACTTTTTAATGTATGCAATCTAGCTCCCCTTTTGCACTTGAAGAAGCTCAGTCAGAAGAGGTGAAGTAACTGCTATAATGTAGCACATTAAGTCTCAAAATGTGATTGCAGTAAGAAAATGATTGTGTTTTCCTTTTTGATGTCCATTTCCCAGTGACCCATACAGATAAAGCAAACAAGAAATGGGAAGATGTTAAGATTAGACTGAGGATAGATATTAGAGGGCTAGAGACTTAGCATCATTAACAGAATTTCACACTTCTGGGGAAGATTTACGGAGTAGAAGAATTAAAATCTACTCAGCCTATCAGATTTTAAGATAATATCTTGATTTCAGGAAAGAAAGCCGGTGTTCTTTACGACATAACCTTAACAGTTGCTTTTGCTTTTTACTATTCACTTTGTAAGCTACCTATGCCATGAAAATGATTTACCATCAGCAATAAATTGTAATGCATATAATATTGGGGAACAATGTTAACTGCAGAGTTTTTCACTCTTCTTGATGTAACTAAAGAAGAGCATTCCAGTACTTCATTTGCCTTTGGAAAAAAAATAAAAATATTTTCTTAAATAAATGCCAATGATAAAACATATTTTGGCAACTAAATCTAGAAATCATACAACTATATTTGAGATTCTTTGTTATATCAGTTCTTTGGATATTTTTCACTGATTCTGGAACCTAAAAATGGAGGAGGAAAAGGGTATTTAGTGTTGCAGACTAATTAGCATTGAAAAGAAAATAATAATGATATATATTAAGACCAATTAGTGTGGGATTATATTCTATCAGGGAAGATGTCCAGTAGTCCAGTATAAATCTTTTCTGAAAAAGTTAAAAACATTCACTTGTTATCTATCTTAACAATAAATAGAAATATATTGCATGTAAGATAATAACAGTTTTTAAATAGTCTGAAAAAATTGCCATATACTTTCCAGTATTAACAAAATCATGCAATTATTTCTTAACTCGTATCTAGAAGTTGTGAATTCTAAGTAAATTGCTCTGCAAAGCATTCAGCTTCCATATCTGACAAATGCTTTCTGTGTTTTCCAAAAACATCCTTAAATTATAGGGAAAAAAGATTATTTAAAAAGATGATCCTTGTTTAATTTAAAGCTATCCATTTTCCCCTGCAAGTCAAAAGATTTTAATTCAATTTTAGATTTTTTTTTGAAATTAACATATACTATTATAATCAACCTACCTTATAAAATACAGTATCAGTTTCATGTTCATGAATTTTTAAACTATATATTTTAACAAGACCGCCTGGAACAGGACTTGGGTTCCATTTCAGCCATACAAAGTCTGAAGTATAGTTGATTAAAGTCAAATTTTGAGGAGGTGCTAAAGGCACTGCAGGAAAACACATTATAAAACATATTCATAACATTTTTAGCATAAAAATATCATTTTGACTTAAGCTTCTTGAAGATACTAGTTAAGAAAGGTTTCTAAAATGATCATGTTTTAACTTCAGAAATAAATAGCATCAGTAATTACATTATTATATTTGGAACTCAGTAGTTCCAAAGTAGTTTTAAACAAGCACTTCATTCTGAAGCTTGAACTAAAAAAAAAAAAAAAAAAAAAAAAAAAATCAGCAAAGTAGATGAATAGCTGTAAGCCTGTTACAAATAGATAATTGAATATCCTTTCAATTTCCATGCTGTTCCTTAAAAAGACAGAGTTGCAACAGTGAAATCACTTGAAGAGGTATGGATTCCGGCTTACCTGACTCATCTGTGTAAAAGAAAAGAGTACTGGAAGGACCAAGTCCTTTTACAGTTCTTGCAGCAGCAAAAAAACTATATAATGTAAATGGTGAAAGCTCTTCCAATATTAGATAGTTATCAGAGGTAATGAAAGAATAATTTTCATTTGGTCCTTGTAAAGTTAAATCATAACTTATTATTGCACCATTTGGCTTTACTGGGGGATCCCAGGATAAAAGAACTGAGGTAGAGGAAAGGTTTTTAAAAGTGTTGATTATTGGTGAAGTTTCTGGGACTATAAAAGAAAAAAAGAATATTAAATGAAAAAATTGAATTAGCATTAAAAAGAGGAGGTCTTGATAATCATGGGGCTTAATTTTATTAGCAGATAATTATTTTAATTTAAAAAACTTTAAGTATGTTTATTGAAAGGCTAATTATTTGAGAAACAACGATTCTATATAATTATAAGAATAATCAGAAAGCAATATAAATAAGAGAACAGCAACAATCTGCTTAAAAGGCAATAAAAGGGTCCAGCCTACCATCTTCCTCAGTTTTGATGTGTAGCTGGGCAGTATAGGTATCAGAGAATCCCTTTTCTGTTGATGGAGTGATTTTTAATATGTAATCAGCATATTTTTCCAGATTATCAAAATACATGCTTCTCTCATACGTAACGAGAAGTGGTCTCACGTGGCGAGGAGTCTGCTGTAAGCTCAGAGAAACATAGTAGAAGACTAGACCATTTGGTTGAGATGGTGGGCTCCAGCTTACATTTATTGCAGTTGACGAAATGGACTCGTAAGTTAGGTTTCCAACAAACCCTTCAGGTACTATGGTAGGTAATGTGCAAAATATAAAAATTATCAGTCACCCTAAGTAAAATTTAAGTAGATTCACAAACCGAGGGTAATTGTTGAAATGGCATCTTTAACATTATCAGCTCTTATGTTGTTTTTTTTTCTTATGTTGTTTAAATGCAGATATAGTATATACCACCTATCATAAAATAACATTACAAAGTAATTATTAAAAATGATTCAGAATATAAAAAACCCTGTCATCTTTAATATGTGTGAGAATTGTTTTATATAGTATTCTCTTGTCTTTTCTTTCCTACAATATGGAGATAATCTGTGTATATATATATATATATATACATATATATATACATGTATGACTGTGTTTATATACTCAGATATTTAAATATTTGATAATTTATATTGTTCCAACAATAGTTTAATTTTCTTTCTTCTAAAGATTATCTTTATTAAACATATACCACATCTAGGACTTCTCACCTGGAACAGTGCACAGTGTTTATGTGGTGCTGTAAGAGTCACTGATAAAATTTATAGATTGGTGAAAATATGGGGAGAGATCTGCATTTACAGAATATCTGAAATGACACTGACCACATACTGCACTGAAACACTTTGCTAGAGACTCTGCAAGCACATGTTTTCACGTATTTTTTTCGTATCTTATTCTGTTGCTCCATGTCTAAACTATCCAAAAGGTTGTTCTAACAAGGAAAGCATTTACTCCCACTTTTAGTGTCTGTCAGTTTACAATCTTAAGACAATAAACATGGAATCTTACTCTCAGCAGAAGTTTAGATCAATATCATTTCTCAATATGAGACTAGTCTTTAAAAAATAAATAGACACCAGAAACAAGAAGAAATAGGCAATGATTTATGCATCACTGTATTCTTGAAGCTGAAACCTAAAAAAAAATCAAGTACTTCAATCATTGTTTTTCTGAATACTCAGCACAAACAGGATACTGCTGAAGCTGCATAGAAGAAACTTCTGAGGTTAATAAAGTAAAGGTATTTCGGTCATATGAGTCAAAATCACAATAAGAACAAAGATGCTGTATAGAGTCCTACGTGTATTCAAAGGCTGAAATGGAAAGAAGTTGCTAGATTTTTTTTAAGGTAGTTCCTAAAGCAAAGGGACAAGAATATTAAGCATTGGAAAACCCATCCACGTATACAACAGTGGTTTTCTACTTCTTTCTTCTTCCAGCTTATAACTGCATGGCTGTGACATCCTTTGAAGCAACAAAAGTGACAGTTTTCATGAATGGTAGCAGTTTTTATGAATAGATAAGGCTGTTATCATTGTAATAATTTTATAGCTACATCAAATGCATTTTCAAACTTCTATAATAACTAGTTAAATGTTCCTAAATAAATTACAGATTTTACTAGCAATACATACAAATAGAAAAAAGGTTCTGAAATAAAGTTTAAAATTAATCCTATCAAAGATCAATAAATGCTTTTTGTTTACGTACTGTCTTGATCTGTATATACTTCAACTATGTCACTGCTTTTATTCCCATTTCCAACTGAAGTACTCGCTGTTACCCAAAGTGTATAGTAGCTGAATATTGCCAGTTTATCTATTATTGCAGATACGGTCATATTGTCAAAGTCATTGGTTACTTCATCGAGTGTAAAATTCTGAAAAATAAACATATTGTTTTAATTGTTTAGAATATAGTTTTAATATACATGAACATTTCAACATAATTATTATCCATGAATTAGTTGTCTCTTTTTTTTTAATTTATGATAGTCACAGAGAGAGAGAGAGAGAGAGAGAGATAGAGAGAGAGAGAGAGAGAGAGAGAGAGAGAGAGAGAGAGAGAGGCAGAGACACAGGAAGAAGGAGAAGCAGGCTCCATGCACCGGGAACCCGATGTGGGATTCGATCCCGGGTCTCCAGGATCGCGCCCTGGGCCAAAGGCAGGCGCTAAACCGCTGCGCCACCCAGGGATCCCTAGTTGTCTCTTATTATTTTAAGGTCAATTTTTGAGAAAAATCAACATAGAAAATTTTAGTGAAATAATTAAACTGGAAATATGTTGTACTAAAAGAAAAATGGATGGTAGGAATTTTTAATCATAAAATTAACATACAAAATAGCAGAGTAGAAGCTCCCAGTTTATGAAGAATGTTCAATGAGCAACGGAAAATGCTATAACTATACTGATCAGTGTCAGTTTTCCTTTTCTCTCTTTTTTTAAAAATATTTTATTTATTTATTCATGAGAGACACAGAGTGAAGGCAGAGACATAGGCTGAGGGAGAAGCAGGATCCCTACAGGGAGCCTGATGTGAGACTCGATCCCAGGACCCTGGGATCACACCCTGAGCTGAAGGCAGATGCTCAACCACTGAGCCACCCAGGCATCCCAGTATCAATTTTTCTTAGAAAACATTCAAGTATTTTTCAAAAACACTGACCATATATTTTTGAATAAGTTTATGAGTATTATAAGAACTTTTATTTTTTCATCCTGTTAATGAAGAAATTATGAAAGTGTTCACCTCTCTCTGTCAACTCAAATGGTTATTATTCATCTTTAAAGGGGCTTTTTTTTTCTATTATCATGGGGAGAACTGGGAAGTCAGTTAGATGCATTTTCTTTCTTATATGCAGAGTAAGAGCAACTTTAAAATCTTTTGCCTGACTCCTAGTTATATTTGTCCTAAGGCATTTCTTCAAGGTTAGGGAATTAATTTATGCAATCATTTCCTTTCTGACCATATTTTATTTTATTTTATTTATTTTATTTTATTTTATTATTAATTTATTCATTTTTCATTGGAGTTCAATTTGCCAACCTATAGCATAACACCCAGTGCTCATCCCATCAAGTGCCCCCCGCAGTGCCCGTCACCCAGTCACCCCAACCCCCCTCCCAACTCCCTTTCCACTACCCCTTGTTCGTTTCCCAGAGTTAGGTGTCTCCAATGTTTTGTCACCCTCACTGATATTTTCACTCATTTTCTCTCCTTTCCCCTTTATTCCCTTTTAACTAATTTTTATATTCCCCAAATGAATGAGTCCATATAATGTTTGTCCTTCTCCGATTTCTGACCATATTTTAAACACAAAACACATAGTTAAAGAAAAGTAATTCTAAAATGGACAATAGACTTAAAAATTATGTAGGCTATTAGTATGAATAAGTTTTAATAATAATGTCCACCTACATCAAGAAAACGCAATGATTCCAATTCTTACAAAGCTTTGAGCATCCTATAAACTGAAATTCAATTGTAGCAGAATAGCCCTCAATAAACCATCTAAACTCAAAGCTTTTCTTGTCTCAACTATAAAATGGGAATAACTATTTCTACTTCACAGAAATTTTGACGATTACATAACATGAAACACATAAAAAAATATCATATCTAGTACACAACTAAAAACAGAATAAATGATAATTAGTTCATTTAGATGAAAAACATAGGGTAATTTGGGGCTTGGGTGGCTCACTCAGTTAAGAATCCAACCCTTGATTTCAGCTTAGGTCATGATCTCAGGGTCCTGGGATGAGTCCCCACATCAGGCTCCCCACTCAGCAAAGAGTCAGCTTGAGACTCTCCCTTTCTCTCCCTCTTCCTCTGTCCCTCTCCCCACCCTTGTGCTCATGCGCTCTCTCTCTCTCATAAATCAATCAATCTAAATGAAAAACATAGGGTAGCCAATTTGACTAAAGTTTATAATTTGGTCCTATAAAAATTAAATTCAGCAAAGTTTTGTGATCCTTTTGCCAGTTTTTGATGGAGCTGGGGGGAGGTTGCGAAGAATGAGTGTAATAAAAGATCTACCTCAATCTGTGGTTGCTTCTTTAGGAATAGATAAGTTAATATAACAACCTCATATAAAATATGATCTGTATACTTTAATATCTTTTGACATATCTATTTTATACAGGGAATAACTGGCTTATATGAAGGATCTCTTAAAAATATTAATGTAATTAATTAGTCAGCCATTTAAAAAGAAGGAAATCTTGCCATTTGTGACAAGGATGAACCCTGAGGGCATAATGCTGAATGAAATATGTCTGATGGAGAGAGACAAACACCATATGATCCCACTCAATGTAGAATCTAAAACAAAAATCCAAAACCATGAACATACAGATAAAAAGAACAGATTGATGGTTGCCAGAGGTGCAGGGTGGGAAGAGATAGGCAAAATGGGTGAAGGTGATCAAAAGGTACAGACTTCCAGCTACAAAATAAATAAGTGATGAGTATGTAATGAAAAAATATATTAATGTAGCTTTTTGGTATAAATTTTAATTTTTCTTTGTTATAGAACTTATTCTGATTATCACCTTGATGACTATTCAGAGATGAATTATTTTGAATCACCCAGAAGCCATTCCTAATGATATGTGACTTAGCATGCATAGCCATGTAATGAATTTGGAATTAGATCAATGATCCAGATGATTACTTCAGTCATTTATTTGTTTTTGGAAAAAAAAATAACTTTCAGCTCAAATTATCTAAGACTATGTAAATGCATTTACAAGTGAAACCTTCCAAATTTGATTAATCAACCAGTGCACTATTCATTTAGCATTCTTTTAGTATAGTAAGACACTGTGTCAGGCACAGGAGGAGACAGGACGTAAGTGGGTAGAAATGAAAATGTAGAAGAGTTAACACACTAAACAAAATGTACAACAATGGAAAAAAGAACAAATGGTAGCAGAGAGATTAAATTCCCTAAGGTAAGAAGAAGGAAAAAAATCATTTCAAGTTCAAATGCTCCATAATTATAACTAAGAACCAAAAATAAAGGTGGTCTATTACAATAATTTTATGTTCCTTCAACTAAAAATATTGAGCACTAAACCTATGTATGATACAGTGCTGGAGGACTTCAGGGGATGGAAAGATAAGTGTCACATGACCCTTTTCTTCAAGTTATTTGCTATGGTATAGGAGCTAAGACAAGTAAGCAGATACCAGGAATGGAAAGCAGGTTAGTATGTACCATGCTTGAGGTGTTCTACACAGTTCTAGGGGAAAGAGAAGGGGGAAGAAAAAAGCAATACACTTATTCTGCTACATGATTTTTATTTCAAAGATTTCTTCTATTTTCCCAACTCAAAATAGAAAATATGGAAGTGAAGATGCTGTATCTAACACTAACTAGAGGAACAAATTAAGGCATAGATGAACTCCGAGCAATATGAGAACTGTTTTCACATCATTAGCCTGTGCTCTCTTGCAGCTGTCACACTTAAAAGCATTCTTAAGGTTATTTAATAAAAGATTACATTTTCTAAGATAGATGAATTGTAAGTGGGATGGTATCATATACCCAAGTTTGAATAAATAGGCTCATAAGATCATGTTGAAACCGTAGTTAGATGTTTACACTTCATTATTTAGATGTCGACCAAGAGAACCAAAACAGAATTTTTTATATACAGGTCATAAACTGTGCAGAGGCAAAATCTTTGCTAAGATTCAGAACTATGGACGCCACTCTGCAATATTTCTGTTAAATGCATGAAAGAAGAAAAAAATCTGCATTTGAATGGCTTCCATGACATAAAGACACGTTAAATTTGTAAACAACATTGTATAAAAATTAACAACAAATTTCACACTAATCCCATTTCTTTCCTCCAAATAGAGTAGAACAAAAAGGAATAGCAAAAATCGTTTAAGGTACATAGAAGGGGAAAAAAGGATCCTCCTTTCTCCTTCCACACTTAAGGTATTTGTTTTAAAAATCTACATCTATAATGATGTATATATCTGTATCTTCATGTCTTTTTTTAAAAAGATTTTATTTATTTATATGAGAGACACAGAGAGAGAGGCAGAGACACAGGCAGAGCAAGAAGCAGGCTCCATGCAGGGAGCCCGACGTGGGACTCGATCCCAGGTCTCCAGGATCACTGGCCAAAGGCAGACGCTAAACCGCTGAGCCACCCAGGCTGCCCTTCATGTCTTGAATTAGAGTAGTTTTCCTTTTGGCATGGAGTCTTAAGTAGTCACACTTATTCAACCTTCACTCTTAGATGGCCTTGAGCAGAATGTAAAAAACAAACCAACCTTGACTTTCTCTTATTCACCGCTAGGTTAGTTCTGAGACAGCTGGCAAAATTCTGCTCTGACTCTACTGATCATACCTAAATTGCAGCATAGATACACTAAGGCAAATAATACAATAAAGCATGCTCTACCTCCTGAGATTGCTGATTCCAAGAACTAACTCTAGTGGTTAAATTAATGATGTCAGTCACAAACACAACTGGACAACTCAAAATTACTATGACTTATCTATGTTCTTCTATTAGAGTTCTATAAAATATTTGGTTTGGATAAATAAAGGATTTCTATTGAGTAAATTGAAAATACTTCTCTAAATGAAATGCATTTTAACTATTTCCATAACCATTATCATTCATATGAGAAAACTGTGCTACCCTAAAGCCCTGCATACTTGTAGTTAATCATATTCCTAGAGGTTTTATTACATCTAATGCTAAATAATAATAACAACCCCTCCTGCTAGCAGATGAAAATTTTTTTAAATTGAAGAGAAATATGCAAACACATCCAAACATGAAAACTATTTATACTGTATACAAACAAAAGGGGAAAAAATAGCTAAGAAATAATTGATGGTAAATTAAGCCATCAACTCCTTTGACAACACTTCTTGGGTAAGTGGAATTAAGGGCCATATTTATACACAGATTTTTAAATAGATGGTAGCTTCACTGTTAGCAATACATTTGAAATGTGTGAACATGCATAACTAGATTAAAATGTATCTGACATATTTCCACCACATTTTTTTCAATGTCAATGGGAGTTTTATAAAATGTCTATGCATAATTATCAGTGTAAGATAAATGATTTTTCTACCATGGTAAGTCTATATCATCATCAATAAAACTGAAGGTTATAAATAAAGAACTATAAATAAAGAACCAGGAGAAAATTCAGGTCTTACCTGCACAAAAGTACCCGAAGTATTTCTGTAATAAACAGAATAATATTGTATAATCCCATTAGGTTTTGAAGGAGGCATCCAAAAGAGCATTATTGATGAAGAACTGAGATTTGCATAATGAACATCTTTGGGAGGATCACTTGGTGCTATAAAACAAATAATTGAACAAAAAACTATACTTGTGGCTCCAAATGATGTCTGAAATGTTCTAAATTTTACCTGTCTTTGATAAGTGATGAGCATTATTTTTCAAAAGAAAATTTAAATTGGGAATAACAGCTAATTAAAAGTCAGAAATGAAATTCATAGGCTCATTGGACCATCTCTCTCATACTGTATCAATGCAACATCCAGGCAGCAGACAGATAGATTTCTTACTCGTAAAACACCATCCCAGCTCTAAAACATGCCTACCTCCCTGTATTTGAAAACAACATCATAACGAATTTCCAGTATAAAACACATGATATGAAATCATAATTTAACTTAGAATCTTGAAATTGAATACTAGAGAACAAAGGTAGCGAGCTGACTTTATGCATTTTATTTTGTTTCATTTAGGAAATACATAAATGCATACTAAGTGTCAAGTTCTGTGCTGAGTGCATCTACAAATATAAACTCATTTAATCTTTATAAGGACCCTATAGAATAGGTATATATTGTTTCCATTAATACAAATAGGAAACAGGAACAGAGAGATTAACTTTCCGAAGATCACACAGCTAGGAAGTGACCAAAAAGCAAGTTTGCCTCCAAAATGATGACAGGTATTAGACTTACTAATTAATTTTGATATTTAAAGCTTATTTTTTTTTTCTGAGTAGGTTATTCTTTTACTTGACCTACATCCAAAAGAACTCACCTCCCTCGGGTGTTCGAAAGTTAATGATACTGCTTCTCATTTTCCCATCACCAAACCTGGTGCTAGCTGTTACATAAGCATTATATTCAACATCATAGTCCAAATCTGAGAACTCTAGTGATGCTTCAGTTACATTGATAGTTTTTAATGACGATCTATCCCTATGCGAAAAAAAAGAAGTTATCTGTAAAATTGACTATTAAACACTACATATATATTTTGAGCACAAGTACATTAAAAATAAGCAACATTAATGCACAGAAATATATTAATCCAGACTAATTGGATAAAGATGTCACTTATTTTGAAATGCTGAAAAGAGTGAAATTAAGAATTCAATAAATAAATTTGTTTTCAAGTATATTCAAAATTCATTCAAATGTTAATAGGATGTTCATATTAGAATTTGCTTGGACTTCCCAGAGTTAGAAGTCTTTATGTTCTGTGTCCCTTTCTGATATCTCCCACACATTCTAACTCTGGGAAATGAACTAGGGGTGGTGGAAGGGGAGGAGGGCGGGGGGTGGGGGTGAATGGGTGACGGGCACGGAGGGGGACACTTGACAGGATGAGCACTGGGTGTTATTCTGTATGTTGGTAAATTGAACACCAATAAAAATTAATTTATAAAAAAAAATTTGCTTGGACTAATTTTAATAGATCCCTAGGAATACTATGTAGTCTATGTAGTTACATCACTCCCTTTCATACCCATGTTTTTTAGTTGTTCAAATATTTGGTATTTTTAAGTGTTCACAACATCTTATTTATACTCTTTGTCAAATTTACTTTTCATATATTGTACAAAAATAATATTTACCTTAGACCAATTAAAAAAACAGTAAATATCTGAATAGTAGTATCATCTAAAATAGTGAGCTTGTGGGTTATCCTTCATTTATTAATTATATTAATTATCCTTTAATTATTAATTTATAGTAATAAATTATGTATTAATTGTAAGTAAACTGAAATAATGTCTGTATAACATACAAAAAAGAAAAAGGTAGAGCTCACGTCTCTTATCCAATTAAAATCTTAGAAGTATTTAAAATGTCACTCCAGAAAAGAAAAAACAAATAAATGTTGATTAAAACTCTCCAAGTAAGTACTGAAATCCCAAGGGGGAAAAGAAAGTCTATAGAACAAAATGTTGCTAAGTAATATAATACTACAATTATTTTATTTCAGCCATGCTCGTGGAGTTTCTATAGCTTTGAACTAAGTATAGACTAGAATCTAAATTTAAAAAAGAACATGGATATAGCAGTGCTGAAAACTGCATTTCAAAAGAAATTTAGGAGTGCCTAAATGGCTCAGTCAGTTAAGCATCCTCTTGATTTCAACTCAGGTCATCATCTCAAGGTCCTGGTCCAGCCCCTCCTCAGGCTCAGTGCTCAGTGGGGAGTCGGCTGGAGGATTCTCTCTCTTTCTCCCTCTGCCCTTCACCCCTCCTCCCTCTCAAATAAATGAATGAAACTTCTTTTTAAAAAAGTTTAGATTTTTAAGAGCAATAAAATTAATTATGAAAGAATGTAAGTAAGGGAATATGATCAATATCACAGAAAAAGTATCTATCTCTTCTGTAATCTCATTTTTTTTCCTCTATGATTTCACATTACCCAAGAAGTAAATGGATATTTTCTCTGAATATAAAATGTTCTCTCTTTGCCATTGAAATAACTAAGGGTATCCACAAAGACATACATTTCAGGCACGGTTTTACCATTTCACTATTACAAAAGCATCAATCCACTCCAAATATCACGTATGGTTATCTGAAAAGTAGTTGGAAAGCTTACCACAGTGAGAAAAATATGGATTCAGAGTATGTGATTGGAGACAGGCAGGATTAGCAAGGCTATTGAGCAATTTGAAACAGTTCCATCAGACAGCCTCTCTCAGAAGCAGTAGGGACTTCATTGAGACCCTGGAGGAGGCTTTTAGACCTTAATGTTGTGGCTGTTAGTCTTGGAGAAAGATGCCTTGTCATAGAAACTTTACCCAATTCCATACTCCTGTCATTGGTCACAGGTCATTAGAACACTGCAGTATGGTTAATCCAGTTCAGATCTCCAAAGCTATGAAATTAGCTAAAGTAATCTAATTGCATTTTATCTATTTTTAAAATTCCTTTTCAAGCTTATTTTTCAGTGCTATCTGATGCCTTGCATTACTTACCTGCTTGCCCTGACTTTCACAACAAAATACTGCAGATGACTATGCCTACAACAAGGATAACCCTGATTATGTTCCACAGATGATGTAGAATGGAGGCAATTACCTGAAAAAGGCGAGTCAAAAGTAAATTTTGTCTCATATATACAGATATTTCACTAAGAAGAAAATAGTCTTTATAAATCATCTTAATAACAAAACCAATAATCCACCTTAGGATATATGGATATGGTTTCTACATCTCTACTGATTTACCCTGGGACAAAATAGTACTAACAAAATTTTTCAGATACTGATGTCTTGCTGTTTGAAGCTTGTTTGTTTTTCTTTTGGAATTTAGGATTGTTGCTGATATTTTAATGAGTAAGGTAAAAAAAAAATATCTGAGCATAAGCAAACTTCAACTGAAATGTCAATTTCTGATCCAAGTTCAGAACATATCTTAAATAAGTAAGAGACAGGATCCCTGGGTGGCGCAGCGGTTTGGCGCTTGCCTTTGGCCCAGGGCGCGATCCTGGAGACCCGGGATCGAATCCCACGTCAGGTTCCCAGTGCATGGAACCTGCTTTTCCCTCTGCCTGTCTCTGCCTCTCTCTCTCTCTCTCTTACTGTGTGACTATCATAAATAAATAAAAATTTAAAAAAAATAATAAGTAAGAGACAGTTTGCTAAACAACTGAGAACTAGGAAGTATAAAAGAGAGAAATGTTGCTATCTCTGAGGATCTGACTCCCTCCTTGCTCTTAATGCAGTCGCCAGACTGGAGGAAAGACCCATGAACCTCTGGCTGGATACCAGAGCTTTCTGCTCTCCAAAGCACAGTCTCAGTGAGCAATCCTGAAGCTCACATGGGTGACTCTGTCCTGTGCATAAGAAACCCAGGTTTTACACTGCTATAATCTTTTGGTTTTAACTGGTTTAAATATCTCTGTTTTGATTAGTTTGAAAATATCATAATAGGAATATTAGGTGTTCCATTAGTGTTTTATTCCCATTTATAAAAGTATATGTTTTTCTATATCTTGATTTTTTTGCTTATTATGATCTATGTGATAATAACAATGATCTATATCATTACTTTTTTTGTAGTTACCTGATTTGGATGTATCATAGTTACTCAGCCATTCGTCTGTAAGATCAACATTTAGGTTGCTTTCTCTCTTTCTCCCTCTCTCTCTTTTATTTCTAAATTTTTAAAAAGATTTTATTTATTTATTCATAGGAGACACACAGAGAGAGGCAGAGGCACTGGCACAGGGAGAAGCAGGCTCCCTATGGGGAGCCCGATGCGGGACTCGATCCCAGGGCCCCAGGACCTGAGCAAAAGGCAGATGCTCAACCACTGAGCCACCCAGGTGGCCCGCCCTTTTAGTTATAAACCATGACACAATAATCATTCTTACACAAATACCTTTCCATAATGGCACTTGGATTTCTATAGGTTAAATTCCCAGTAGTGTAATCATTGAATCAATTTTTTAAAAAAAATTTAATGATCACTGTTCCAAATTATAAATGATTATAACTTAGAGCCACAAGAACAACGTGTGAGGGCACACCTTTTGACAAACTTTTATTACTAGTATGGATATTAATCTTCTTAATTATTGTAAGCTTGAGCCTCCCCCAAAAATCTAATCTGTACATCCTTAACCATTTGTGAGATAGAATATTTTTTCACATGTATATTGGTTTTTTGTGGTCCTTTTTTCTTTTTTGCATAATGTACACATCTTCTTTTCTATATTTTATTGTAATGTCTTAAATGGAACATAATATATATTAGAATTAGAAAGGCACTGTTCTAGTTAGTGTTCCAAACAAAGAAGGACAGATGCTTTCCCTAGTCCCTTTGAATCTAGAGATGATATGTATGCAACCAATTTGACAAAATTTATTGAATGTCTACTTTATTCAGGAACTATGTTAGAAATAAATATGAGTAAGAATCAGTCCCTGTCCTCAAATTTGACAAAATAGTAAATAATTATAAAACAATTCATTAATAACAATAAAATCCCTTTAAGGACAAGGACAACACCTCCCCCCAACCTGCCCCACCAATGACTAACAGCAAAGAAAAAGAGATGAGCAAAAAAATCAAATCAGTAAAATTTGACTATTCGTAACATCTAGAAAAAGAGTATACACTATAGCTCCCGAAGATGCAGGGAATTGTTGACTAGAAACTTAGTTTGCAAGGTTTGAGAGTAGAATAGGGAGTTGAGTATGGTGGGGAAAAAAAAGAAAAGACGCTTCCCTGACAAAACAGGTCTAAGTTTTACATATCCAAAAGTATAAACTATGTCAAAAGTTAAGGAATAAAATGCCAACAATACTTAATCTCTAAAACAGATAACTTTCAACATCAGAAAAACCTCCTAGTCAGTGTAAATTGTCAAACTAAAGGGAGTCCTTAGTGTACTCATTTTACTGATTTAATTCTAGAAACTTATTAGAACATTTTAAGACATTCTTGAATTTGAGGCATTGGAATAATTTAAATGACCTTGAACCTGTTCTGGACAAAAATAGGATACAGGTTTTCTGTCTATACTCATTGGTAAGCACCAAGAAAATGTCTTGGGATAGGATTAATGGAGTCTTTAAAATCAAGTTATTTCCTCATTAAGGTATGATTTTTTTTTCAAAAGACAGACCACATTTTGACATCTAGGACATAAAGGAAATTCTAGAGTATATAAGCAATTTCTTTGGTCTGGTTTATCACTTTCTTTGCTCATCTCTTATCTCATTGAGATCATGTTAAGTAACAACTGCCAGTGAAGGAATCTTGAGTACCAAAACCACCGGAGAAGACTGAAACAAATTCCATTTCCCTAAGCATAAACATGAATGGTTTTCTACACATGATCTTCATTGAAAAGTCATGATCTTAATTCTAATCATCATTTGGTATTTTGTTCCATGTGGGTAATGATACATCCATCCTTGTCCATTCCTATGTATTTATTTTCAAAGC